AAGATGGCGCACGTGTTCGTCAGAATGAATGCCCTGCTCTAGCCCTGCGGTCTAATGGGTTTGGTCCACAAGACTAGTCAGTGTCTCCACTCTGTGTCTTTTCCGCATTCTCAAGTTGCCAAAGAGTTGCTTTATGGAGGAGGGCCTTGGAAGCTTTAAAACATATTATTAGATAGGCTGCTAGGCTTGTAAAAGTGGATTTAGACAGGAATTTCAATGCATGGTTCTGGATGTTTTCAAATTGGTTTGCTTGCGTTTGGTTGAATGGCTCACTAAGAAGGCGCACGTGTTCATCAGAAAGACTGCCCTGCTTTAGAGTCTTATGGACTCTGGTCCTCAAGATTGGTCCCCAAGGCTAGTCTCCGTTTATGTGCCATCTATGTGCGCATATAAGAACTAGATTATATTACTACATATCCTTCTCAGTGTGCCATGTTAGTGTATGACAGTGTATGAGAAGCGACATTTACTTGTAGCCGTGTGCCATCTTAAGGTTCCAAATTCCACTCCCGCCTTTCAGAGGGGAAACCTCTTTTGGGAGGGCCTGGTCCAGAACCTGAAAGACATGTTTTTGGTGTCAAGGGACGGCAAATGGCAATGACAGTTACTGTACATGTCTATCTGTCATGAGACTGTTTATCGTTCTACGGTATGTTTCTCAAGCCATCTTTTGAGTGCTGCACCAGCAGCCCACAAGACACCAACATTCGAAAGCAAAAGAAACACACCAAATGCAACGGCAACAACCACCCCCAACTCTCAACAAACCCTGTACGAACATGTTCCAAACATTACTTCCGATTTGACATACATCAAGCATCCCCAAATGTCATCTGCACATCTGCATGGACCTCAAACACAGGGGTCACCTCAAATGGCACGCAAACCAATTATATACGTCCCGCAGAACCCCCCGTCACCATCATCTCCCAACCCACACTCCAATGCCATGCCCAATGCACAGCTCTCCACGGCCCAACTAATTACAGTGCCCATGTCTGTCGTCAAAACATGTGGGCCTCGAACGACATGCAGGGTGTGTCATGTGTTGCGCTCGGCCTCCACTTGAAGCTGAGAGGATTTCAGCTCCGCCAGGAGCCACATGGAGCGTGGCCACTCATCTGCCGGTCGTCGCGCCCGGTGGGAGCGCGGAACGTTCAGGACGGTGGACGTTCAGCGGATCGGTGGTAGCTGAAAGTCACACATGGGTTGGCAAGACTCTTCCTCGTTTCAGAGTGCCTTCAACTGACTCCACCACCAAGAATCCAAAAAGCTAAATTGACTGCAGATCCAAAGCCAAGTGTTGGTAGCATTTTACTATTGGTAAACCCATCAAACTCCTACAACAAGAGATTCACATCCTGATCCTCCTCTTCACCATCGCGGTCTCTATTTCTGCCTCGCAGGGCTTCCGTGGCCGCATGGATTACGAAGTTGGAGCGCCGCAACTGCCGCTGGCCACTCTGGCGCAACAGCTCCTGGCACCACCGAGAACGCGCAATCATCCCACTGAGCGATTCTAAAAGAGGTTGAGTGACCTTATAGGACCCGATAGGACCCGTAACCTGGGGTACCAATGGTATAGTCTATAGGGTCTTTCAACCTCTGTTGGTTGTGCTGCCAGTGTTGCCTGCTCAAGATCCGAACTCCTGTCCTGTGTTGATGGGAAGAAAGTAGATGTGGTTCTTCAGTTCGTGACCGAACTTGATATCCCGAGGTCACTTGTATATAGGCCTAGCCTATAAAAGGTCACACTGAAAAACAAAAACAAAGGTCACGAACTGAAGAAGCTGAAACCATTCCTTTTCAGAAATGAACTTGGGGATGACCACCGATCTCTGTGGAGGAAACATCCAGACTGAACAGTGAAACCATCACAAGCGCACCACCGAAGGGGTGGTTCTTGGATGTTCTTGGAGGGAAACAAACATAGGAAAAGGGTGTCTCTACCACCCGACCTCCATGGTGCTGGCATCTATCATGTGCACCACACACATGTTCTGTTTTGAACCCTTGAAGGACCTCCGAAGCATGGTGTGTGCTGGACCTGAGAGATGCTGGTGCGTGCTTTGATTGCTTCGAAAATCATATGTTTTGTGTGAATAGTAATGAACAATACAAAATGTGAAAGGATGATGCTGTTCGTGAATGAATGTTTATGCTATGAAAACTGTCATAGCAGTAGCACAAATTGGCAAGCAAAAAACAGGGTGCTACACCGGTGAATGGCGAGGATGGCCGGTGAATGCGCACTCACGGACAGGCACATCGTCTGTTTCTTTCGTTTGGTGGCACACTCTGAAGGCGGGCGCATGCGGCAAGATTTGCTGAAACCGAACAAGTGCGTGGAAAATTGTTGGTTGAAACGTTTGGGAGCAAAACTACACCAATTACGCTTTATATAGACATATACCATATTTATCACGTTTTGGTGACCCTTACAGGACTTTGCGGCGCAAAACGGGAAACCAACATGTTCCAGGACCCCCTAAGGGGTGGTTAATGGACATCCCTTAACCTCTAAAGGGCTATAGTTAGACACCCCTTAGGGGGGCCTGGTTGTTGATTGTTGTTTCAAACGAGATTGAACCTGTGGCAGCCACAGTGTGGCTTGAAGCACTTGGTCATGTGCCGCAAGTGAAAACCTAATCCTTACAAGCCATACTTGTTGCAGGTCGTTGCAGGTCTCTGACAGGCGCGGTTGTGCCATGCTTTTACCACTTCAATTTTGGCAAACCCCCGCCTTAATGGCGATCTTATGTTAGGTACCTATCTTCAGTGCCTTCATCCTATTTCTCATGATTTCTCTGCCCATCTCTGCTCTCCACATCCCTCCAACCCACCACCCCATCCTGCGCTTCGGCCCAGGGGGCAGCTGTGCAGGCATTGGCCTAATGTTTGTGCAGCACCAAAGACCTAATCAACACAAGCATCCTGGTGTGTTGTCTATTTTGCTGGGGTTAACACACATGTGTTCACATAACTGCTGATCACAAAAGAATCTAGAATCTAAAGCTACTCCAAGTCAAGTTGCCAACTTGAGGCCAGAGGGGGTGAACGAAAGCTAGCCAGGCTTCCGGCGGTCTGCTGCTGGTGCTGCTGCTGCTCTGCAGGCGCCGGGTCGTCTGCTGCTGCTGCTGCTGCTGGCGCTGGGTGGTCTGCTGCGGCTGCTGCTGCCGCGGCGTTGGGTATGCTGCTGCCGCTGCTGCTGCCGCCGCTGGGTGGTCTGCTGCTGCTGCTGGTGCTGCTGCTGCTGCTGCCGCTGCTGCCGCTGCTGCGCTGGGCGCTGCAGATGCTTGGTGTGCTGCAGCTGCTTGGTGGTCCCGCTCACCGCGCGCAGGGGGGAGTCGAACCGCGGGGGGGGGGGGGTCCATAAGATTGATTTAATCAATTATTTGAGGTTTCTGAGGTGCGTCCACCCCGTCACTTAACTTGCTAAAGCAAGAGCAACTCCAGCTAGCTAAGGCTAGCTTTCGTGATTATCTTCTTTCACACATGCTTAAACATGCAACACAGTCTGCGCGACAAAAACGCACTCTGGAGATTCTGGAGAGAGAAAACCAACTGTATATATCACGGCGGCTATGGAAGACCATTTGATTCCCGATCGTCGTGGACCGTGTAGGTCAAAAGTCAACCGTATAGCTTACAGTACTCCAGGTCTGAACCTCAGGCCTACGAACCATCGCCATACGAAGGGATTTCTCGTTCTCGAAGCAAACCCGATCGGGCTGAAAAAAAACACAGCGAAGCAATTCCACCATGCAGGCTACTTGTTTTCGAAAAGAAGGGAAGAGCTCCATGGTACCTGGTACATGGGGCGGTACTCTTAAGGATCAACAGCTACTGTAAATCAAGGTAGACCCCTAAGACATCCTTAGACAAACGAACATGTTAGATCATTTGGATGTAGCCATTTGGTTTGAGACATACCAAGGTCATGCAGTTCGCCAGTTGAAAGGCGCTTTCATCATGTTTTTGAGACCCAGTTCCTATCTAAAACTCCTATTTAAGGTCAGTGAAGCAGTTCGGTGGACCCCACCTCTCAGCCCTGGCGCCAGCCTGCGCGCCATATGCGGCAGAGCGCACCTGGGGCTCCATGCTGCTGCACCCAGCGACACGTCACGCCAGATGCCACTCTGTGAGAAACACAGCAAGGAGCTTTGCCACTGCACACCCGTGGCAAGTCCTGGAAATTGGGTTGGTGACGGTGCCTTCTAGGATGGAGACATGTGTATCTCTTTCAAAAAGGTTCCTATGGAGTGGGGAACCAGTTTGATCTGTCTTTATCAAGAACCTCAGGAACTGCTGCTACATGTGCCGGCTACTCTCTTCTTCATCTCTTTTCATTCCCATTGCAAGACCTGCACCTGAGGACCAGCACCACCCGTGTCAAGGTTCTTGGATGGTAAATAAATGTAAATTATACACATACATGGAATTCAGGGAGATGCTCAGAGTGCTTGATTCTATACTGGCCTCGATTCAGGGTTCAGATTCTATAGGGGATGTTCCAACAGAGATGGTGTCTATCTATTATTTATATACATCCATGGTGTCTATAAACCACCCCAACTGGATGGTGTTGCGCTTTCATGACCACCTGACGTTTTGACCGTCCTGGCCAGGAAGGAACATCTCGTGACCGTCGGCCGCGAGCCCCTGGAAAATCCCATTTCATGATCTTTCAGGTGGACCGACCAAGACCATGAAATCGGAAGGGTGGCCGCTCCTGGTGGCTATTGGAAGATTGGCATCTCTGCTTTCGGAGAGCACCCTAGAAAGGAGGGACACCCTCTATGAGCATCACTTCTACAGATCTGGCAATGGCCAAATCGGTGGGAAGTGAGAAACACCATGAAACACCATGAAACTGCGAGCTTCAGTGGGCGACCTGTGTGCAACCAACACGCTTGTTGTGGCCTCCCTGTGACATTCACCTGGCCAAATCCAACGCCAGCTGGTGGGCGATCAGCGTCTTCGGTGGCCCCAAAGGGCTTTCCTGCCATGCAACTTTCATATCACGAATACGAAGGGCACGAGGCACCAACTGTAGCACCTGATTTTCTGCCGGACAAGCCTCTTGCAATTCCTCCCAGGATAGAGATCTACAGAGATCTTTACCTTCGTGTCTTGCACTGGCAGTCCTTTTTAGATGCTGAACAAACTAACAAAGCTTGTCGTGGCGTTGGATGTCGAAAGCCTCCAATTCCCAACATCTCTCCCATTGGCCTCTCAATTCCAACTTGCACCAGGCTGTGACATTTTTTGTGTGCTCTCTTCCACTGATCTTACCCCAAAACCGCAAAACAAAAGCCGCCACAGATTCGCCCCAAAGACCTCTTTCAAAAGAAAACCACCTCATGGAAAAGTACGATCCATCCACTACCCCCGAAGAAGGAACCCACTTCGATGGGCCGAGTCGCGCTGGATGCCTGTCATAGTTCATCACACATCAGTAACGACCAGGGACCTCGGACGCCTTCGAAGCTCTTCGGACCTCGCCACGCCCTTCAAAGCTCAGCGTCGGCGGGGGGGGGTCCTGCGAGGATGGAGCTCTCCACGAAGGCATTCGCTTCCAGGTCCCGGCCCTGCAGATCCCGCAGCACAGCCTGGCGATCCACACTGGGGCATAGATACTTGTCCATCCATCGGATCCATTCAGGGAGACACAGACTCTATAACGTCTTCTTTCTTTTCAAGGGTCTACGAATGTCTACGATTCTGACATGCTTCTGACTTCCAGAGGTTCCGAATTGCTTCCCATCTGCGCTACGCGCAGGTGGGAGTCGTCCAACGCGCAGTGCTTTGGGGTTCGGTCCGCCGGGGCGATGTGTCAAAAGAGTGGAGTGTAGAACCTGTGACATGCTGGATGTGTTGGTCCTCCAAACCCGGGCGAATTGTGTATGTCATTGGTGCACGTATGTAAGAACAAAACAGTTTTGTTCGGAAAAAGAGTGCCAATTCTGGGATATTGCGCTGACCTCGGGAACCGAATCATATCCCCACCCCTCTGAGAAATGCGGCATTTTGGACGATGATGTGCCAGCGATGACCTAAGCCCCTGTCCGTGCGGGTAGTGCAGCCGGCCTGTGCAGCACGCCAGGTGGGACACAAGGCATAGACTGCTGCACCCAGGGAGACAACGTCCAAAGCGACTCCCTCTTGTAACGCCTGGTCAGCTTCATCGAAGAACATCATCCATCACTGAAAGGACATGAAAGGGCCATGGAATACTCTGGAAAAGGGCACTTGTTTCAGAAAACTTCCTTCTGCCCTGAAATCCAGGGGGGTCATATATACATTGTAAATATATAGTATGTTAGATAATGTTAGATATATGATATGAATCTTGTGAAGAACTTTACGCAAACTCAAGATTGAAAGACCTAGTGCTTGGTCCCTTGGAATGTGAAAGGATGAGTCTCTTGGCCCTTCAACCTCAACCTCAGATGCACCGGCATGGCGGGGAAAGCGAAAAAAGACGAACAAAAGCCCTTTTCATTTCTAGAATTTATATATTCTTATATAGTAGTAGTAACAACAAGCTATTATAGTAGCTCCTGACATTGCTACTAGTAGCAAGAAGCTACTAGTAACAAGGGTATTTCTACTATAGTAGCAGTCTCGGCCAGAATGGGGCGCAATGATTTTTTGGAAGGCCAACCATCGCACGACCTCAGAACTATGAGAGGTTCCAACCACAATTTGCTCGGGCATGGTCGTGTTTAATCCACTTACTCCATCTGACTCCTTCTTTGGCCTTTTAGACTGGCTATGTGCTGGCTGGCGCGCACTGGCTGACGCATTCACCATCACCATTGTTTCCTGAGATCTTCATGTTTTAATTGTATTTTCTACCAAAAACATTGTCAACCATAGCTTCTACCATCCACATACCCGGAAAAAAAAAAGAACTATGGCCGAAACAAAACACCCTCCACCATTCGATCAAATACCGTCGAATCCAATATATGTGTACCATCCATATGATCCCCCTCCGGTATGACAGGTGACGTTGGTGTCCTATATTATGCCGGAACCAACCTCATTTTCGCTCATTTGGTCACAAACCATCTACAACTGAGTACTTTGCTAATCTTTGCTATGCCCCTCACTCAAAGCGGATCCCTCCCTGCTCCCACATGTTTTTGCCCCCACTCTTTTGGATCTTTTGGATCTCTGGTCCAGTGAGGGCCCAGGTGCGGAGAAGGTGGTGGTGCGTCCATAATTTGTGCGGTAAATTCTGGGGTTCAGTTCTGTCGTTCCACAGGACGACAAATTGGGCCTGAGGATTTGGACCGTTTGGCACTCAACGACCTGGACGGCCGACCCAGTGTGCCATACTTTGCGTTATTTTGGGTTCTTGTGGCAAAGCCCGGGTGTTGATCCAGGGTGCTCAGAGGTGTGTGAGTCAATGTGAGTCAGGCCAATTCGCTGGTATTTACGGTGCTTTGACTCAACTTCTTCAAAGATCTTCAAAGTGTATTTTGACGGCGCCAACTTGCAGAATCTGCCTTTGAGTGCGCTCTTGTGGCCCTGCACACGTGTTTGGACTTTTGCTGGCGCTCACCCAGTCACCCCCATCCCATCCCACTTACTTCCACATTGGGAGATTAGATACATATAGATACATGAATGCTAGTCGAAGTGAACGTCATTAGCCCCACCCCACCCCAGCCCCATCCCATCCCAACCCACACCACTTATTTCAACATTGGGATATGAGATTTGAAGCCGCTTGAATACTAGTTGAAATGAACGCCATGAGCCCCACCCCACCCCAACCTGACCCAACGCCGGGACATGCTGGGCCACCGCCGGGATGCCGGGACATGCCGGACATCCACCCCACCGCCGGGACATTCCGGGACAAGCTGGGACATCTGTCCCACCGCCGGGACATGCCGGGACAGTCGATTTTCCAGAGTGTTTGGTTTCGAATCCAACCAGAACAAGTCACCCTGAACTGTGGTTCCGGTGGTGTTCTCTCACATCGCCTTGGTCAGAAATCCGCTCAGTGGAATCGCTTGTAGATCGATCTGTTCTGGCCCACCTTCACCGAAAAGGGTGCCCCACTGGGAGAAAAGCGTGGAAATTTTGACTCAGGCGGAACGCATCTGGCATGTGATGTGGCATAATTTGGAACCGGAGGCGGAGCCGTCCGTGGCGCTACGAGACGTGGGTTGTCTTGGATTCTTTGTGTCCAGCGTCATGTTTTTCCGATATTTTTTTTGCGGGGCTATGGCTGAACACTGGAGCCGGAGACCGGAGCTAGCCTGACCAGATGTTTGACTTGCTCCCAATCCCAGCTTGCATAGCTTGTGTCGCTACTGATTTTCCATTGCGATTTGGTTTGGCAGCCAAATGCAGCCAAAACAGACAAGGCGACTGATTTTCATAGCAAATCAGCAGCAGCTGCCATTGCTTTCCCCCAGGGCCAGAAGAAAATCAATGTCCCCTTCATCCAACCACTTCACGTCCCGAAGCACCATTACCTGGGGAGAAGAGAACATTTTGTTGTTGATTCCCCCAAGACCGACCTTGAGCTGAGACTGAGCCGAGACAGGTTGGGTGGGCCAAGTCCACAGGCAGTGAGATGGTTGATCGTTGTTTTGCGTGTTTTTGCTATGATGTGTTTTATGGCACAATCATGCGCAATGGACGAATTATTAGATGTTATTCTCCCGTCTGAATTAGATGCAGAGGTGAACTTGTAGAGACTCTCAGGTTACATATTGGCCACTTCGGAAGTGGGTCCAGCTCGTTAACATAAGTTACATAAAGCCAGAAATAAGTAGAAATTAGCTAGAATAAGCAGAAATTTGCTCGGAATAGGTAGAAATTAGCTAGAAATAGCTGGACGTAGGTCGAAAATAGATTTGTTGTAATTATGTATATTGGCGGAGACAAAACAATGGCCCGGGTCCTGCAGAATAAGCCTTTTATGTAGTGATATGTGGTGCTGGCTGACGGATGAAAACTACATAGTCACTAGTCCGGGGCGCTGCCCCGCCGGCGGGTTTCTGTGGTGTTTTGATGAGCGTGCCTGCTGCTTATATTATAGGCTTTGATCAGTGATGACAAACTAGCACGTTTCATTTTGGATGTCCGACTCAGCATGGCATAGCATGATCAGACCAACGCATCTCTCGGTGATCCTTGGCTCACGCATGTTTACCGCGGTTTCGTCGACTTCGCTCGGCTGAGCAACTGGAGCAATATGGAGCGAGAGATGCAATTTCCCAGGCCAATCAACCGGTTGCAGGAGATTAGCTGCAGTCCTGTTGGGACAAATGCGAAAGGTAGGATGTCATGGTGCAGTGGTGTGAATTTGAGACGGCTGCGGGTGCAGAGTTTGAGCATGTCGCTCGCTGATCGCAGAAGTCAGCAGTGGGGGGTTTTCCATCGTTGTCTCGGAGGTTCTCGGAGCTGTTGCATGCTGTTGCCAGACGCTTTGTGATGCTTCCAAAATATTTTTCGGCTCGGTTCGGAGAGATCGCTGCTGCCGTCCACGGCGCCTGGCTGAAGGCCGGCATGTCCACTTCAGGGCACTTGTTGCTTTGCGCTTTTCCTGCGCTGGCGCTGCAAGCAAAGCAGTGACCACATGTTTGGTAGCCAAAGGTTAGCAAAGTCTGCGCAGACCAATCTGAACAAAATGGCATCATTTCTTAGTAGGTTGTCCACGGAAATTATGAAGCGGCCCGCAGAACCCCGCCAAACAGCAGCTAGGCGCTATAGCAAAGCGCTTGTGGCATGCTCGGTATTCTATTGACCCTGCATTCCGGGTGCTTGGCGGAATCAGCCAGCCAGCCAGCTAAAAGTATCCGGTGGAATCAGCCAGCCAGCCACCTGTATCCGGCAGAACCAGCCAGCCAGCCACCTAAAAAGTATCCGGCGGAACCAGCCAGCCTAAAAAGTCCCAACAAGTATCCGGCGGAACCAGCCAGCCAGCATCAGCCAGCCTAAAAAATCCGAAAAAGTATCCAGCGGAATCAGCCAGCCAGCCAGCCAGCTATCAAAGTACCTGGCGGAATGTGTCGAGCCAGCCAGCCGAAAAAGTATCCGGCGGAACCAGCCATCCAGCCACCTAAAAAGGACCCGGCGGAACCAGCCAGCCAGCCTAAAAAATCCTAAAAAATATCTGGCGGAGGCGCAAATGTATCCGGCGGCTGGCAGAATCAGCCACCGATAAAGGATTCGGCGGCTGCCGGAAAAAAACTCAGATAGCCACAGCTATTTAATTCAAGGAAGAGGCGCCTGTGTGGGCTTTGCTGCCTGCCTCTGTGCTGGCGCCGTGCCGCTGCAGGATGCCGCGGCCAGATGCTGCGAGTAGGTGTGCAGCAGGCAGGATCAGGCAGGAGAAACGGGCGGTCTGCTTACGCTCGGCAGGCGCAAGCGGACCAGGGTCGTGGAGCAGCGGATTATGCTGCTTTTGGATGCTTTTGGCAGGATTTCCGAACCCCAATCTGCTGCCGCGACGGGCGGTCTGCTTACGCTC